CTCTCTCTCTCTCTCTCTCTCTCTCTCTCTCCCTCTCTTTCTCTCTCTCTTTCTCTCTCTTTCTCTCTCTGCTCACCCTCACTTTCGCTTATCCTTTCAGGCCAAGTACAATGTCCCTTCCTCTCACTAGCCCATGCGTCAGCACGATCGCAAACCGACTCCCGCTACGTATGCACGACGAGCGGCAGCGAATGCATGTGCATGATTCCTTGCGATTCAAGCCCAGCTGATTTGATTGCAGTCGCGAGTGTCAAGTGTGATGCATGCCAGCTGGCGCAATTGAAGCGTAGTTGGGATGTTCGACGAGCGACGCGCGCACGCGCACGCGCACTCACATCATCGGTGATTGTCATTCAGGATTCGAGGTGTTGCACCATCCTCCTCGTGACTTTCGTGTCGAGCGAGCGCAGGTCGAGCCATGCATGCCAAGGCAGGTCCGCGCTGTGATGCGCGCGCGCGCAAGTTGGCGCGGCTCCCTCCACCCCCTCTCCTGTTCATACGCGCCCTAGCAGTACGTACATGTCGCTGTTTGAAGTGGAATGGAATGGTGCATATTGCCGATGATGCGTTACCCCATCACCTCGAGCACGACCACCTAGCGCATCACTACTCCTCTATTCCTACTGCCAACACCAAACTTGCCCCGGCCAAGTGCAAGTGTTTGACCAAGCCAACACTCTTGCATTGGCGGCCACTGGTGCTCTCCGGCCAGGGCTGCATCGGGACGCGCGTCATCACTCTGCACTCAACCCTCAAGCTCCACCCTCGCGCTGGTTGGCTGCATGCGCATAGCTGAGGTTGGAAGAGGAAGAACAAGCAGAGACGGAGCGGCGAGGGGAGATGCACGAAGCGTACGACCTTTTGCCCCTTTTGGGCTCTCAGCATGCTGCTAGTGCTCTGCTAGCCCACGGTGAGTCTCGTTCTCCACCCCCCGCAAAGGGAAACAGATGGATGACGACGTCAACTGATCGAACTTCTTCCTGCTGTGGATGCCATGCAACGATTAGCGGGCAAGCTGTACATTGGCACCCCGACTGGTCAATTAGCAGTGTACTCTCTCCCCACCCATGTGGACTCCAAGGGCGAAGCGGAAGATGATGCCCCTTCTTCCTCTTCTGCAAGCACACAGACCAATCTTTCGGGCTCTGGCTCTGGCTCTGAGCCCAAGAAGCAGAGCCAAGAAGCGCGCTTGGAATTGTTGGAGACGAAACAAGTGGGCAAAAAGGCTGTAGAGATGATTGGTATGGTCAAGGAATGCGGCATGCTGCTCTTGCTGACGGGTGAGTCGACTAGACGCATGCTCTCATTTCCCACGACTTGTGTGCGCTGTAGCGTCTATAGTGATGCCTGGACCATGCACTCCTGCCGATGTGTTGCGATCATAGAGTCGACAGTGTACACCTTGGAGCTGCCTCTGCAAGCCAACAACGAGCCCAAAGCGATCGCATCCACAAAGGGCGCGCTCACCTTTGCCATCGACACTTCGGTCCAGCGTTTGCCTGCTCGTCAAGCGCAGGCTAGAGCACAAGCACGGCCCATGTCGCTGTACAATCCCAACACTCTAGGTCGAGCATTCCGACCCGATGCAGGTACTTCATCCAGCACCGCCACTCCCTACGCCACGCTACGAGGTTCCAGCAGCCACGCGGACGGCTCTCGACAAGTGGCAAGCGTGAGGGCAGCAGGAGGTACGCTGAGAGCTGGTGCGAGGGATATGGAAGCGCTGATCAGGGAGAAACAAGATAGAAAGGAAAGAGCTAGAGAAGAAAAGTCGACGGAGAATGATGAAAACGTCTTGGTCAGCACGTTGGCTGTGGGATGTAGACGCAGATGCGTCATCATGAGGTGGGTGGATGGTGCGCTGTTCGACACAAAGGTGAGCATAGCCAGACGGACTGACTGCGTAAG